GAAATGTTTAAATGGTATTTTGTATTATGATATATCTGACCACTTGCCTATTTTTAGTATTATTAAGCAGACAATTAATGTTCATAGATTATTGAACAATACACTAAAAATGCATAGAAAAGAAAATTCTTCTAATATTGATTCTTAAAATATTGATTTATGTCAAGAGCAATGGCTCGATGTATTTGAGGAAAATGATGTTGATAAGGCTTACGAAAAATTTAATCATAAGCTACAAAAGTATTATGATAAAAATATTCCACTTGTTCGAACAAAATATAAGAAAGTTAAAAATCCATGGATCACTAAAGGAATTTTAAAGTCGATAAAAACTAGAAATAAACTTTATAAGAAAAGTCTTAAAAAGATGAGTGATGAGAATTGTAGCAAGTATAAAATTTATAGAAATAAATTAACTTCAATAATTCGACTTTCACGTAAATTACATTATTCAAATAAAATAGACATGAATAAGACAAATAATGCTTCAATATGGCAAATTGTTAAAGATATGATTGGTTCTAAAAATAATACTCCTAAATCATTTTTTAAAGATGGTCAGGAAATAAATAATCCAGTAGAAATTGCAAATATGTTTAATTCATATTTTAATGATATAGGTCCAAATTTAGCATCAGAATTTAATATTGATCAAAATAGTTATAAACAATATTTGGATGAACCATTTTATAAATCTTTATTTTTACGACCAACATCCTCTCACGAAACTATTAAAGTTGTACAGTCTTTAAAATCCACTAAATCTACTGGTTATGATGGGATAAGTGTGAATCTTTTGAAAAAAATTATTTATAATATTGTCTCTCCAATAACATATTTTTTTAATTTATCGATCACACTTGGTGTTTGTCCAAATATATTGAAAATTTCTAAAATAATCCCAATATATAAAAAAGATGATTCTTCATTAGTAAATAATTATCGTCCTATTTCCCTTTTACCGGCTATCTCAAAAATTCTTGAAAAAATTATTTATGAACGACTTTATGATTTTTTAAATAGTAATGATTTACTTGTTCCTAATCAGTTTGGTTTTAGAAAGCATCATTCGACAGATCATGCAATTATTCAACTTTATGATAAAATTATTACATCATTGGCTAATAAGGAACACAGTATAGGCATTTTTATGGACCTGAGTAAGGCCTTTGATACTATTGATCATAAAATATTGATTGATAAATTACACTTTTATGGAGTAAGGGGTATTGCTTTATCATGGTTTAAAAATTATTCGTTAAATAGAGAACAGTATGTATACTTTCAATCTAAAGAGTCGAGTAGATTACCTATAACTTGTGGCGTCCCTTAGGGATCGATTCTAGGTCCTTTATTATTTTTGTTATACGTTAATGATATTGTAAAATCATCTAAACTTTTAACATTTATATTGTATGCAGACGACACTAATGTATTTTATTCTCATACAAATTTAGACACACTTACGTCAATCTTAAATGTTGAATTATCTAAAATATATGTTTGGTTTAAGTCTAATAAGTTATCTTTAAATTTTACTAAAACAAATTTTATATACTTTAGAAATGTTCATTCACCAAAAGTAAATTGTAGATTATATATTAATGATATTTTGCTTTTAGAAAAAAATACTGTCAAATTTTTGGGGATAACCATTGATTCTAATTTAACTTGGTCCGATCATATACATAATATATTGAACACTGTTTCTAGGAACATTGGAATATTATATAAATTGAAATAATTACTAACTCCCAAATCTCTTTTTATGATTTATAATGCTTTTGTACTTTCGCATATTAATTATTGTAATATCGTATGGGGAAACTGTTGTAAAACTAAAATTAATTCACTTGAACTTTTACAAAAGAAAGCCTTACGAATTTGTACACAATCTGATTATTTAGCACACACTACACCTATTTTTAAAACATTGAAAACTCTCAAAGTAACTGATATGCACATTTTTCAAACAGCTATTTTTATGTATAAATATGTCTCCAACTTACTTCCTAAGTCCTTTCATGATTTTTATATTCATAATGTTAATGTACATTCGTACCCCACGAGACACTCTATGGATTTTCATTTAACTAACCCTAAAATTGTTTTGGCACAAAAATCAATAAGACACAATGGACCCGATGTGTGGAACTCCTTGCTTATAACATTAAAATTATGTACAACACTTGTTTCCTTTAAAGTGAAGATGAAAGAATATTTATTGATAAGGTATGAAAATTAGATTCTGGTCATAATATACTACATGTACTTTGTTTTAATATAAATATTCATTGTTTATTTGTATATAAAAAGGAAATTATTTGATAGATTGAGGAGCTCGCGCAGTGCACTCTTCACTTTGCACAGCACTCACTTCACCCGCTCTTTCTTCCTGTCTCCTCTTCTCCTTTTGTAAGGCCGGTATCATTTCAAGCTCTGCTTACGATATCGGTCTTCTGCATTCTCCCCCTTTTCTTTCTTTTCAAATACGATTAATTGTACTATTGATTATTTATATTTATTTATTTGTGAATTACTACTTGTATTACTTATCATTATATTGCTAAAATGTATTCATTGTTATTTTTGTTATTGTTTATGGAAAATGCAGAAATAAAACTTGAAACTGAAACTGAAGTTGTCAAATCGACTTTAGGGCTATAGAGCCCAAAAGTAATAGTCTTGATTTTCAGACAATTGTACCGAATGGTCATACGTTTAATCTTGGCCACCACAAGAAGTGGGTTATTGATGTAGACAAATGCTCATGTACCCTTTACAACTCTTTTCATATATATGTTATTACCAAAGAAGAAAAAAGCCAGTCAGTCACTCAATAGTGTCTGACAGTGAAGTCTAGCAAGTAAACGGGTTTCCTTGCATAATTTGAATATGAGGACACTGCTAACGTTTAAATTTCACAGATAGGACATACATGACATATTCATAATTCCTGCAAAGTTCTACAGCATTTGAGGTTGGCTGCAAAAGGGACATAGTATCTTTAACATACACTTTTTCAAAATATTTATGAATTTCCTGTAAAACCTTTTCATCATCCTTAATAGTTTTTCCATTCACATATAAACTTTCTATTTCTTTTTTCTGCCCATTGCGCTTTTCCAACTGTAAAAAATATTTGCTTGCCTTTTCACCCTTTTCAATCCATTTTGACCACGATCTTACAAACGCCCCTTTACATTTATGTGTATAATATTTATCTATGTTCTTCTGTGCTTCCTTCATCTTACTAATAACATTTTCATTTGGATCCCTATCTAACTGTTCACTCAAGGTATCATATTCCTTTTTAAGTTTATTAAAGGCATCTTTTTGAACATCATATTTTTGTTTACAGTCTGACATCGTAAATTCTTTTATCTTAACTTTACATATTTCCCATTTGTCTTGTGGTGACAACTGTATGTATTCCAATTTAACTTGTTTAATCAAATTACGTACACCAGTCTGATATTTTGCATCAACTAAGATATTATTATTTATCTTCCAAAACCCTTTGCCTCTCTTTACAATTTTAAATTTCAATTTGAAAGAAATAGTATTATGGTCACACTTTAAAGCCAGACGGATGTCCGAAGATTGAACTAAATGGCATATCTTCTTTGATATTAACCAATAATCTAACCTAGAAAATAAAGAGAGAGACACCTGCCTCCATGTAAATTGTCTCTTGTCTGGATATAAATGTCTCCAAATATCTACCAAATTGTGATCTTTTTTAAACTTCTTAAAATAAAATTTCGGAACATTAGCAGAAGAGATACCACGTGTATCCATTTCCTGACTTTGAACACAATTCCAGTCCCCTCCTGCTATCAAAATATCATTATCTTCTTTAACCGTATTCAACCAATTTAAAAGCATTTTATAAAATGGCTCTTTTTCCAATTTTTTTGTAGGAGCATAAACATTCAAAACAAAGTAACATATTCCATTGATGCTCAAACGAGCAGCTACAATTCTTCCGTCACTTTTATTAAAAGCATGTATTAAATCAATTTTCGGGTCTCTGTTAATTAAAATTGCAACACCCTTTGAATGATTGGTTCCGTTATTAAACAAACATGTACCAGTCCACTCATTACAAATATTCCTTTGTAGGTCGTGAGACCAAAACGTTTCTTGCAAAAAAACAATATCACATTTTTGGTGTTTAAGCCACAAAAATATTTTGTTCCTTTTTAACTTTTCACAAAGACCTCTAGCGTTCAAAGATATGAAATGCAAAAATGGATTCATACTATTGAATTAAATATGTATATAGAGTCCGAGTTTTCATATTTTGATACAAAGTAACATGAATTTCTATTTTTTAGTTCATTAGAAAGTCTTGGTATAACTAACCATGTAAAACGTATGAACAGAGTCATGAAATATAATACAGGTAGCGTCCAATTTCCATATCCGATATTAAAACAGCTAGCTAGCAAAATTATTTCTTCTTTGTAGGAGAATGGGTTAGTTGAGTTCTGTTGCAGAGGGTGCTACACAAAATCATTTTTTTGTGAGATAATGAAAAACTGAGTGTCAAATTTGAAAGAACATAATGATTTTTAATACTTGTGTATACCACCACAAATATTATATATTTTTGCGTCTTTTCGGAACAAGGCCTCGGGCAAGTAAGCAGCCATTTATGTGGTTCTTTACAATTTCTTTGATTTCTTTTTAGCTGTTTTTAGATCTTGCTCCTCTGAAATTCACTCACAAGTTCAAGTTCAGTAACATCCATTTGCCTAGATACAAGGTAGATTACAGATGTAGGTTGTGCAAGGTTATTTATAGATCATCTCGCATATATTGTATGTGACATGGCGGGAAGCAAGTGGTTATTTTTTTTAGAGCACTCCCCTCTTTGTGTTTAATTTATCATGATATTTCATGGAAGATCCAGTTTGTTCAATTTCAAATAACCATCTTTTCTCAAGAGCATTCAAAACATTGGTAAGCTTTGAATGATCTGTTTCCATTTACAGGGCAGTTTGTGTTGGTAGACCATTACATTCACCTGATAGACCAGAATCACTAAAGAAGAGTACTACCAGAATGTCAAGCACAGATCAGAACCCATCTCCGTCAAAGAGTGTGTTTCTCAAACAAGAGGTACATGACATCACCTTTACCATTCCCTGGAGTAAGCTGTTAATTAAAGTCAACATTGAAATAATTACTTTCACATCCAAACTTTTTCACAAATAACATTAACAATTTTGTTAAAATTTGAAAGATAATTTGTATGGAATTCAATAATTCAGTAATCACTCTTGCTTCGTTTTGTGTTCTAGTAGAACTACAACCATTATCTTTTGTGTACATTTTGAAATGAAAGTTTGAGAGAGACTTCTGATTCAGTTCATTTTCCCCTCCCAGGGAATGACTATTCACAACCGAGATTTTAGATTTCGAAATTATATGTTGAATCTAATCTGCAATTTCTTTTTTAAATCTTAAATTCTAAGTTGAATGTTGACAAGATCAGATTTTAAGGATCTCAGATTTCACATTGATGAATTATGAATTTTCAATGGTTTGTGATGGCAAATTCTTGAAGGTACACCTGTAAGGTACACCTGTAAGGTACAAGCTGTTTCCTGTCTGTTCCCTGATTTAGTTTAGATGCAGGAAGACTGTACATTCATAATACAGATTGTCCACTATGATTGATCTCATCAATAATGATCTGTTTGCAGACACTCCACAAGGAAAAATGGTTATCTTTAGAGAGAGTAACATACCAAGATCCTCGAGGTAAAGAGAGAACCTGGGAAGTGGTAGAAAGGACAACTAAACCAAAGATAGAAGGAGTTAGTGACTGTAAGTATCTCTCAAGGACAACAACTCAATATGTTTTCAAATAATAGATTTGTTGTTTTCTTGCGGGCAGAAAGGACAACTAACCCAAAGATAGAAGGAGTTATGTTACCAAGGATTATCCAGCCTCTTATGGTTGCAGTATAGTCCTTAGTCCTTGTTGCTTGTTACAATATCTAGTTATCTATCTATTATTAGTATATTGTTCTAGTTAGTTGAGCAGAGATTGTTACAATTAAGTTACAACTTCACTTTGTTATACATATATTTATTTTAAGCTTGCAGTTACAGGTACAGCTTAAAGGTTAGATTGCCTTAGGCCTTCTGTTATCAATTTTACAGATACAGGTTACCTGTTACATTGTATATACATAGTATAGCATACCTGCCAACCCTCCCGGAATAATTTTTTTTTTTGTTTTTTTTTTGTTTTTTTTTTTTGTTGCTTAAGCCAAATTAAGCTTGTTTTATCATATGCCGCGATGTGAGAGTTCATGTATTGTGTGCGTTGAAGGGCTGCATGATTGAGCAGCGAATTTGTATTTGCTTTTTTGCACATATTTACCGCGTATACGCTGCCGCTGCATGTGCAAACGCCTGTTAAGGGTACAGATTTCTTATTTTCAAAGACGTACCATGCTAAAAATTCTTAATTCTCATTTTCAAATGTTGGCAGGTATGGTATAGTTTAGTTTGTTATATTCTTTAGTATTTGTACGATTTGTTGTTATTATACTCATCATGTTCATATTCCTCTATTTTCCCTATCTACATGTATATGTAACATATGTTTTATGGACCACTGCCTTGTGCAGCTGAGTCTGAAATAAAGTTCTAAATTGAATTGAATTGAATTGAGTTAGTGATTAGTATCTCTCAATGGCCAAAACTCAAAATGTTTTCAAATAATTGATTTGTTGTTCACTTGCTGATAACCCATCAAGTAGGAGACTACAGTTTTGTATCATACAAATCATTATAATAGATTTGAACCTAGTAAAATTAGTATGTAATATCTTTATATTATGCCCACAAATGTTTAATTCTTATTATTTAAAATCTATTACACTGAAAGTTGCAGAAAAAACTAAGATTGTAATACTGTGGTATATTAGTTAAATAAGCTATTTTGTAGAGCTCGCCTGATATATACACTTCATTGTAAGACATTCATATCCCGCTGGTACCCTTGTCAGGTAGAAAAGTCAATCTTGTGTATAACTCTTTTGTTTTCTCTTGGCAGGTGTTGCAATGATTGCTATTCTTAACAGATTGCTTCACTATGATTGTATTGTCCTCGTCAAGCAGTTCCGCCCACCGTTCAAAGCATATACCATTGAGTTTCCTGCTGGTAAGATATCACCCATTATAGAATGCTCACTACATGATTCATTTCAAATATTTGTTTAGGCAGAATATGTTGAATTTGCTTTCAAATTTCCACAAAGGCTGGATTTGAAAATTATGATGCATCTAGTATTTAAGCAGTTCATTACAAATTATTTTATGTTAGCAAAACTGGAGGCAAAAATACACACTCTTTATGTTACAAAGTAATGTGTTGTTATCAAGCTATTTACTGGGTTTTTCCTTAGTCCACATTTAAACTTGACCTTTGATATATTTTCAAGAGACCCTGGAGGTAACTAGGTATGGGACAAGTATTTCACATATCTCTCTTTATGTACTTGTATCAAAACACTGATTTTTTAAAACTCCTTGTCTATTAAAATTCTTGTTAAGAGAAGCTTCCTTTTATATTGTCTGATTTATACTTTTTGTTTATTATTATAATTTACTCTGATGAGTGCTAGACCAAGAGCTTTAGTTTTCTTGACATGTATTTGTTGCTATTTTTGATTTTACGATCCTTTCATTTATTTAAACCAAAACAAATAAACTCTATGGTGCAATTTTTCAGAACCTCTACCAGTATGAAGCTGAGATTATTACCAACTTCACATCAGTTCCATTTATTAAGATAGTGATCATTATCAAGATAAGGATGAGAATGACATACTCATAGTTAATGATATAATGTTTACCGGTATACTCTCCTGATTTTTATATTTTGCAGGTTTGGTAGATCCAAATGAGAGTCAAGAGGAAGCAGCTTTGAGAGAATTGAAAGAAGAGACAGGTTATACAGGGACAGTCTTAGCAGTATCTCCATGTAAGTACTTATACAGGGACAGTCTTAGCAGTATCACCATGTAAGTACTTATACAGGGATAGTCTTAGCAGTATCTCCATGTAAGTACCAATAGTTGCACTGGAACAGAAGGTTCTACTTCTGGATTCACTCAAGGAAATGCAGTGTTTATTTGATTCTTCTTATTGACTTTGTCTCGCATTCAATGTACATTTAAATCCTTCAGGGCGCGACAAACCCGCTTGCCCGACGTCCCGGGGCAACCAAATTGAGCCGTCGGGCAAGTAAATCAAATTATCACTTGCCCAATTCGGGCAAGTGATACTTTTACAGTAATTTCCTAGTGTCCAAGAACTCTACCATTCACCCGTCAACTTCTTACCCGTCGTCAAAATCCAGAAGCAAAAAAGCGATCGTTCCGATTTCGAAAAAACTTCACAGACAGCTAGCCAGCTCAGCTAGCTCAGCGCGCATGCAACAGTGACACTTCAAGCCATGAATGCCGCTCCGCCTCCACGCACGGCCGGCCGTGAGCTAGCTAGAGACAGCTAGCGCGATCGTACCAGCTGCGAGCTTATTCGCGCTCTCTCTCTCTAGCTCTGCAGGCCGCACCGACAGGCCTTTGCTATTCTCTGATTGCCGATTGGTTGAATCACGCCAAATATGACGTCATTATTCTAGGGAAATGAACACGTGCGAATCGGAATGGAATAAACAACAGGGATTTTCTAGTAAGTACAAAAAGTCAAATGTTTGATATTTATTCATAATGACTGTTAATGATTGTGAACATATTATTTAAAACTCGCTGCTCATATAAATCAGATGAATGTTTTTGTCTCGTTTTCAATTTATTACTGCGGTCTCAAGATCCGACCGAGCGAGTCATTTTGATAATAGTATCGAGACCCCCAGAATATAAGCCGTTGTTGTTTTGTTTTCATGGTTTTAGCGACGTTGTTTAGTCTAGTTTTCGCATACTTATCCGAGATTTATCGTAAAATATCTTCAATATTATTATTTAGTAAGAATTTACAAATTTTGGCATGATATTTATAGCAGTGAATGATGAAATAAAAATGTCCGTACTTTATTTAAAATAGTTGATTACCCATTATTTACATGACGTTTCTTGATGGAAGAGTTGACCCAAATTACACTGTACATGTATGTGCATTAATTTGCTATCTAAAACACTAACTTATCATTACGAGATAATAAATGCTTTAACCTCGAGTCCTTTTTCGCTTTAAAGTTTTGGGCAAGTGGAAATATTGTTTGGGCAAGTAAATTGAAAACCCACTTGCCCGACAGGGCAAGTGGTGAAAAAAATTCTTGTAGCACCCTGTCCTTGCGTACATATGCAATCTTTCACATGAAAAAAAAAAGAAGAAAATACATAAAATAAATCGCCTATAAAATTCCTCAGTTCTTCCCAAAGAAATACCTGAATTCCCTCATTGAAGTTGATACCATTACCCATCACGTCTCCCCCAAAAGATCTTCAGTTACAATGATTCAGGCATTCCCATGTGTGCTCCCACAGGCAACCAGTGAACCATATGTCTTTCAAACGTTTGATATTAATGTCAAATGATATTTGTGTAGTATTCTTTCCATGCACCCATCAATCTGTGTATTTAGTGAGACCCCCTTTCTCCGTACCCAGCATATATTATATACAATCAAATAGTATAAAATAGAGCTCTCTGATGCAGAGTTGTGGGAAGTTTCCTTTCCTTTTTAGATGTTTATTATAAACCTGTGTTTAATTCACCTTTGTTATGCTGTTGCTTGATCATCTAGGTACTGCCTTAGACCCAGGAATTTCATCAGCATCATGTAGCTTTGTTCATGTTCAAGTAAGTTTATTTATAACTTTCAAATCCAACATTTCAGGCTCCTGACTTAATAAAGCCTATAACAGGATTTTGAACAGACTGTGAACACATGCTGGTATCAACACACACTGAAAAGAAAAACATGTGTGTATTAAACATATTTTTATTGTGGCTTAATCAGTCTTTTCTTTTGTACTTTACATTTTATAATGTGCATGTGTGATAGATATGATTTGAAGTTTTGAACATACAGCGCAATTTGTTTGCTCTGAATGTTTTGTTTTTTCTAACCTATTTCTTTTGCTTACAAATATCTTACAGTTTAAAGTTTAATTGAACCAATTACCTTTATAAAGCTTTAGAAGACATAATTATGATCATTACTTTTGATATAAAAGGTGCTTCATTTGTATTATGTAAGGCATTGTTTTTATTTACCCATTATCACGATATTTATAGATAGCTAATTTTCCCTATTCAAACATTAGTTACTTGTTAATGTATATGTTTCACTAAGATTGACTAATCTAATGATGTATTTGACATAGATTGACGGCAATGACAACGCCAATGACAGTGCAGTAGCTTGTCCAGGTGAGGTCATGGATTTCTTGTACTTAAAACCTTTTGTGAATATTATTCCATTTTCTTTAGAAGATTGATTTAATTAGCTTAGATTTTTTTAGGATATGTTCAATGATTTGTTGTCAAAAAGATAAACGTCTACCTTACTTATCAAGGGGGTTTATTATTTTAAGGAATGATATGGATACTTTCCCAGTTTCTCTGTTATTGATGTAGACAAAAATCTGACGAGGAACATTTATGTGCAATATACTCTCCATCTCTCTCTCTCTTCTTTCCCTCTCCCTTTCTCTCCCTCCCTTTCCCTCTCTTTCTCTCTCTTTTTTTTCCTTTCTATTATTCATCTCATTTGAGGGCTTGTCTGATGTTAATAAGCACAATTAGATATGAGAACTGTTATACACTTCATAACAGGTCTCTTGATAAGACAAATACTTCTTCACCAACTTTGTTTTAACTGTCTCATTTTCATTTGTAATGATTTTATCATAAACATGTAAATGTGATGATATTTAATGATTTTTGTTTTCTTGACTCAACAGAGGATGGAGAGTTTATAGAAATTCTTCTCATTCCAGTCAATGAATTACTTCATAGATTGCAAGGTAAGTCTCCATCTGTGCATTAAGAATGGCCCTTCTTTTATGATCTGGTGATAATATTAGTCATACAAAGTGATATCAATAATAATAGTAATAATAATATAGTATTATTAATAGTTTTGAATGAAGCCATGAATTAAATATTTTGCTTCAATCATGGTAATTTGTAAACAGACTTTATTTAATACCATACCTGACTGAATTCTTGGTAAAACTTATTTATTTGATATATGGTTTTAAATTACTGGAAATAAATCCAGTACCTTCATTATTTGAAGCTTTCAAGTATATTCAGAGTAAAATTTGTATTTGTAAGGGTTAATAGGAATATAGATGGTATAGTATTGTGAGACAGTAACAATTTGAATGGATGTACAGTATTCAGTGAACCCTAATCTTTATGTTGTGTTGCTTGCTCTTGATCATGATAGGGCATGTAAGGATTCTGTATCCCTTTTGTATTGAAGAAAAGAAATGATATGCATTTTTTTTTTTTTTTTTGTAATGTACATAGGACCACATGAGAGAGGGAGAACAGACAAATTATGTAGTTACCCCTGAAATGGTCTATCCACCATATTCATATGATTTACCATGTATTTAACATGATTATATTGTCATGGAAATAAAAAAAATTGTAATTGTGATCCAATCTTCCTCTTTTTTTTCTCTGTCCTAGAAATGGCGAAGCAGAAAGATGTTGTGATTGATAGCAATGTATACATGTATGCATCAACTTTAACTCACCCCCATCTAGGAATGGTACCTTCCACTATCATCAACAGTGATTAACTTCAACTCACCCCCATCTTGGAATGGTACCTTCCACTATCATCAACAGTGATTAACTTCAGATATCAATCAACAGTCTGTTGTCTAGCAATGGACCTCCTTGACTGGTAATTCACATTGACAGTCTGTATGTTGGCTCTGAGTTTGAGTAATGGCTTGTTTACACATGAAGCAGGAAGCCACTAGTGATCTCTGCCGCATGGTTTTATGTTTTTAAAGGTAAATGAATATCAAGTTGGAAGAAAGTAGCTCCGCTCAACAAAAGGCATTTGTGCACTCCATATCTGTGTGTCGTACGTACGATACAGACATGAGATGCAAAAAGTATTATGCTTGCTGCATCAGAGAACGCGCCATGGTGTCATATGTAAACAAGCTTTTATTGACCAGTGTATGGACTGTCTGTATCTTGATTCTAGTGTATGAATCCTCTGTGTCCAGTAATGAGCCCGTTATGGACCGGTTATTGACCAACTGGCGCAGACCTTTACTGATTACCTCATGTAATTAACTTGACCTAGGAGTCTACTTGGCCTGACCTCATGCATTCACCTGAAAGGTCACTGACCTCTTGTTATTTCATGGACTTTTGATCAGCTATAAATAGAAAAGGAAACATGTCTTCTTGGAGAGACAGACTGTTCAGTTATGAAAATTAAGTGTCATTGGAACATGCTTCTGATTCTAATTGTAAAATGTAATGTTTTTTATTGATTTAAACCATGTACAAAGGTGAGCTATTTTTCTGACCAAAAATTTTAAAGATATGCTTAGAAAATTGAGCTCTTTTTTATATTACAGGGATTTTTCTTATTTTTTTTCTTCAATCATGAATAAAGCTTTCATGAGCTTGTAATACTCTCGTAGTTTAGATGCCTAGCCGACAGACAGTTTATCATTGTGTGTTTATTCAAAAAAAAATTTAAACTGATTTTAAACTGATATGTTTACATGTATTTGATCATGCATCTTCTTATTATTAAATATTAATCTGTCTCACATCAATATTTTATTAAACATGTGGATGTGCCATATTTTTCATAACTGTTATTTTATGATGTGAAAGAAGATCTATTTTTGATACAGTAATTGTGAAGAACTGGTGAGAAAACTTGCCTGATATTTAGCAATATTTACTTTTCTTTGCATTGGAATGTTGTCTTGTAAGATACATGTACTAGTAGTTAGGTCCTCACAATGACATAGAGCACTTTTATGTAGACATTGAACCATTTTTATCATACGCTCAAGTGGGCAACTTTTTATGTAACATTTGAAGCTGTTTTGTGTTAATACGTTGATAGCAATCTATCCTGTTGAAATCCTGGCACAATGACTGTATTGCATAATATTGCATAATATAAAGTATGCTTGCTATGGAAACAACTGTTTCAGCCCTCTTACTAATGTTCAAAGTTTATCAAATCTTTTTCTCTGAGAGTAAAGCCATTGAACACAGAATATTAGATGTTTTCCTCCCTTGTGTCATGAAGAGCGCCATCTGTTGTTAAAACTAGCAAAAGTGAATGAATGGAGGAATTCAATGTAATAAAAGAGACATTTCAGATGTTTAATAAATAAAAGATCAGACTTGTGAAAGGGTTGAGATTATTGCCCCTTTTATGTGAGCCCCCCCCCCCCCCCTCACACACGCACACACATCTTCTTTTCTTAATTCAAGTTTAAAGGTTTTCAACTGATTATGTAAATAACTTTTTTTTAATCGTAAGTTATTTTCATACACTTGGTACTTGTACCGGTATATAATTTTGTTGCATAAATCATGTACATGTATATCATTTGTAGAAACATTCCATGTTTTTTTCATGTGATTTTCTCGATATGTGTAGAAATGCTAAATTTCTATTTCTATTTTAGGAAGGTAATGAAACTATATATTTTTTTTTGGGGGGTTATATTTTTTTTCTATTCAGTATAGAGGTAGACAAATGAAGATCAATAATAAGAGGTAATTTAAACAAACATCAAACATATCTATAAAAAAAAAAGTGATTATAAAATGACTACCAGTAACATTGATATATACCAGAAATTGTGCTTACCAAAATATATTGCATTGCAATTTTCAGTTTATGGTATACATTATTTGATTAGTATAATTAAGAGATACATTTAAGGTGTATACTGCTTAGAAAGGTAAAGTTTCGACACAATTGATGTGAATTCGATTTCTCTTGACCATTTTGTGAAGATATTTAAATCTTGTTTGAAACGAGGCATATTTGCATACCTATCAATTATTCATATAATTTGTATTTTCTGCTTGATTTTTTTATTTTTCATATTAATTATTATTCTTATATTTTGTAAAAGGAAGTATCCATGTACCATGTAAATTAAGTTGCCTAATGTAGTACATGTATTTTGATACTGGCTAGTACCTTTGGAATGAAGTAATTTCAATTATATGAGTTGAATTTTTTTTTAAATTTCATTCCATTTCATTGTTTTCATGTCATGGGTATAGTAAATGGCATGTATCATTTGTAATGTTATTATGGTGCTCATTGGGAATCATTGGAATAATGGAACATGATGGTGTACATGATGTTCATATCATGTCTATGTTTACTTGTAATTTATATTTGTATAGAGCACTGCTATAAATGAAGGGCTACCATAGAATATCATGTATGCATTCATATGGTGTTGATTAATATAATTACAAGGGATGTTAAACTCATAATTTCTGCATAATTTTATAAATGGAGAGAGGAGATGTAATGTAAGGGAGATGGTTGTTCATATAAAGGTATGAAAAGTATTCCCCCCCCCCCCTCCCAAGCATATAAATGATATATAGGTATGAGCTTGGTAAAATTCAACTCCTAATCCACTACTTACTGAAATCTTGGACAGCCATTTTTGTCAAGTATATTTTAGCTGCACATTGTGACAACAGTTAATTGGAGCTGTTTGTTCTGGTAGTGGATGAAAGCAGAGTTAGACATAAATTTCTAAGGTCTGAGAATTTGTGTAACATTTCTGTATCAATGAAACATGAAACATCAGATAGTCTGTACATAACTAATATTTAGATATCATTGTGAGTTGGTGAATGAACATAAAACAGTCAGAACAAGTATGATTTATGATTTGTGAAGTATCTTGGGTACGTGCACTCATTTTTCATCTTTTCCAGATGAGAACAGTCCTATTACATGGCAGACTTGATATGTTACAATGTAGCATTGACAGGTTGCTTTGGCAACAATTGCTGTGGGCTATATTTCATGAAAGGTTAGGTATAGTGTTAGGTTCAAGGTTTAACTATTCAGTTAGTTAAGGAAATTAATGTGCAACATTTGTGGCAGAAGCAAGTGCTGTAAAACTGTTCTATTACATGGGCATCAGTTTATGTGAATCTTGATAAAGACAGTCATATTAAATTCATTTGCAGGATGAAAATCAACTCACTTCAAATTTTATATGACAATTTATAATGTGTTTTTAGTTACAAATGGAATGCATTCTTTGGGCTCTTGTACCATAGTTGTATTTTACAAATTAAGTTTAGATGGTCTGTTCTAATTTTGTAACCATGAAACTTACCAATATTCCACCTAGGCTGTTATATGTTCTCTTGCTGTATCAGTATGTCTGGGGTTTGCATCTATAATGGATACTCTAAATGTCCTCATTTGCAAATTGATTCACACTTGAATTTCATAATCCAATGACACACTACAAGATTATTGGTGAATTTCGGGATTATATCTTATTAATCAATGTTTTCAGATTTTCAAATATGATTTGAAATTGACCCGGCAGATATGCTTGTACTATTTGAATTTCATAAATGCATGAAATGGTCATTTCACTTATGTCTTGACTTTCATCTTGTATCATATATTTCTCTTTATAACCTACATCAATAACATCATTATTATACTTTGAATGCCATCGTTATTTCTTTATAGTTAAAATAAAAGAAGACTGATCAGACATATGCTTCCTAATGTTTATGATATATTTGTATACACTGGTGGTTTAGTTACGTTGTCTTGGAGAACCGGAGTGAGTGGAGAAAGTCAATTTTATTCCAAATCTTTTTTTTTTTTCTTTTTTTTTTTTGCGGGGGGGGGGGGCAAATATATTTTCTTTAATTTCTGTGAACTTTTTGCACAGTGGAATTCAAGTACTCGGTACTCGAAAATATGCCTCGTGGTATTTAAATAGAGATAAACGTTAACAAGAAATATAATGATTTATTCAATAAATTCCTATGCCCGAAAGATAAACGGGGCGTTACAGGAGATGAGGACTGACGAAGTATACGTACGCAAAACTCACGAGTGGGATAGAGAGAGGGGGAGGGAGAGTTTGTGATAGAGAGAGGGGGAGGGAGAGTTTGTGATAGAGAGAAAGGGAGGGAGAGTTTGTGATTGAGAAAGAGAGAGAAGAAGAGGAGCTAAAGAGATACCTTTCTTCTCTTGGTAGTAATTTATTTTCTGACCGGTGCATTGACGTATTTTTTGATGGGTTTCAATTAAATACTATTGAATTTCTTAATAGGGTTCTGTAAATTTCTATAGGCAGGAAATCACTAATACCGAATAATAATAACCATGATTATTATTTCTGTAATTCAAAGGTCCTTTATTCATTTTACATAAATTATCATTGTATTCTTTCCACGAATCCTAATTATCTTCGAACTTCGAATTTCTTTTGTTCGCGAATTCATTCATTTCACCTGCGTCTAGGCGTCGCATTTCGGTTGTCAAGGCAGTAACATCCAATTTGATGGTTGCAGGTTTAGAACAAAACTACATATGATTGAAGTATTCAGTCTCCTCATTAAAGCAACGTAACGGACTCACTGGTAGACAGGTTAAATGATTGGCGTCAGTACACGCTTTACAATTAGTGTTTTACGTCAGCTTTTTAAACATACTTCGCTAAATCTAGAAGGCATAATTTAGTCTGTTATCGACTTCTACCTCACTCTCACCCCCCCCCCCCCTCTCTCTCTCTCTCTCTCTCTCTCTCTCTCTCTCTCTCTCTCTCTCTCTCTCTTTCTCTCTCTCACTTCCCTCCTTCCATCTTCCTACTCTTTCTCTAGCCCTCTTTTTCTTTTTTCTTTTTTATATTGAGGTCCGATATCTCGTCCACCGATGGTCCCATGATACTCGCCAACCCTGCAATACTTGAATCTGGGAGGCGCCATCGAATGGCATTGTAATGACAAGGAATATAGCTATACAGGGGAACAGCTAGTGCTCTGTTTATAAATGTGTATAATAGCACTCACATATTCCCTACCCAGCACGGTTTCTGAGACGATATTGCACAATGGCAGCACATGTTTGCGTTTTAAGATGAACAAAACTGAAAGAAAGTCAATAAGGAAACGAATAGCAGTCAGTTAAAACAAACCAACCAACTAATCTTCGAAAAGCGAAATGTTGATACGCCTACGTGTGCGTGTTATTGTTCTTCTTATTACATCATGTCTCGAAAACCCGATATTCTTGTCACACCAATTCTACTGAGAAACGTGAAAAATATGGATGACAATGAGTGATTTCAAGTTGGGTGTTTAAAGCTGGTGTTAGTGTTTAATAAACACTAACACCAGCCTAAACACCGAAATGGAAATCAGCTGGTGTTAAGGCTTTGACCTCTGAATATCGTCAACTTCCGGTAGCTAGTGTTATCGATTTTGCAAAATTGTCGTCTGCTGAACCGACCTTTGTGGCTGGTGTTAATATTTTACGTACAAATGTCCTATTCACTAACACTAGCCCCTAGGGATTAAGCAAATGTTGATTTCCAGTTCGGTGTTAGTGTTGTACCCGCACACAGTCAACGCACGAACGACGCCAATTTATTGTCTGACGATCAAATAAAAATATGTGAAACAGGTAATTCATATATTCTTTCGTGTAAAATTAGTTATTTTCTAAGACCAGAGAAATAGGTGTAAATTTATTCTGTACTTTTCATGATATCTTTAGTTTTGATGAACTATTTTTAAATCATCGTCGTAAAATCAAGTATGTGGTGACGTCACTCGAAGATGTCGTTGACGAAGCTGTTCATGATGACCATGGCCCGACTGGAGATGCCGGTGTTAAGCTATCGATTTTGATATCGGTATCGGGCTCTTAATTTCATCAGCAAATTCTCCGCTCGATTTAAGAGCTCTTGAGTGCTCTAAACACTAACACTAACACTAACACCAAACTTGAAATCACCCAATGTGTGTATAAAATGAGACGGAGCATCCATATCAATTCCTTCGCGCTCCTTTTGGGAGATCAACTGACCCGCGCGCATTTTATATTACATGACATATGGTAAAATTCTCGGCATCTTTTTACACTTTTCTTTACCATTAAAAATCGAAATTGAGAATAATATCCTCAATCGAGATATGAGAAGAAGGAAACATTTCCTTTACATTCCATGTAAAACCATGCCCTTACTTGAAAAAAAACCTCCGTCACTTTGACGTTGAACTTTACAATCCATTTAAAAAAAATTACTCTCTCATACACAATGTCAATGGATCGGTCGCACTGTGCTCGATTGCCTTTCAATAAACCAATCTTTAACTTTGCAGCAACGCGTTTTGCGTCAAATTTGTAAATCCTCAATCACAGACAATGACATATGATACGTAAGCTTTTCATACATATAAATTTCATTTTGATTGATTCATTTTTAGCTCCGTCATTTTTCATGTCAAATCATGCTTCATGTCCCATTTTAGAAGCCCGACCCAGGGTTTTGTGCCAGCTAGCCGTATGCATGTACGTAATGCTATGCATACACATATAACTGAACATGCATAAGTACAGTACATGTACACACGCAGCGCAGCGCGTACGAGCGCACTGCACTACATTTCATTGGGTCAGTACCATTATGAAAATAGGGTAACAATGAGTGGGATGGGTTTAGTGCCGTCACAATAAACTTGCGCATTACACGCGTACGTATAATTAGAGCAATTTATGCACCCCGAAGAAATAATGAATACAGCCCGACCTCTCTACACACAGAACTGCACAGATACCGCACAGTCCGGTCAAGGCGGTACGCGTAGCGTTAAACTGCCAAATTTACAGAAATTGTGAGGAGCGCTTTTGCTATGAAAGGAATTGATATGGGAACAGGTTTTCATATTGCTTTGCTTCTCGATCTCATAACAAAGACGAACTGAAAACTCGATATGATGAAAATCATAAATCTTCATCACCACCATTGTGGAAAATGAAATACATAATTAGAAGTCATTTTTATTTTTATGTTTGAGCTAACATAAAAGTGTATTTAGAGCCAATTTCTTGACCACTATTATCGAGGGAGGAGAATGTAGCATTCCTGTAACCAATATGGCACACATTTTGCTTGTTTTTCACTGATAGGATCATCATAACCATCTTCAGATATTAACAGAATCCTTTTTTTTAATTACTGTAAGAAATTTAATAATATGAAACAATGACTTTATTCCTAACTCTGTGAACTTGAGTAATTCAGTGTGCAAGCCAAGGTAAGTCGCTTTGGAATACTCGCAAATATTATAGCAGACGGTACTGGAGCGGCATGCAAAGTAAAGGGAATAGCATAATTATAAACGCGTTTCCATGCCAGTATGTTCATCCGAGATGAGATCCTTTTCAGTCCCGAGAAGCAGGGCCCTGCAGGGGGTATCAGGATCGACTAGAAAGACATTGTATACGTATCTCTCAGAATAAATTCATATCATAGTTTTTTCTTATTTGTTTAGATCATGATCAATAGATAAAGTTGAGTTCTGGTCATGCGATTGTATTGTGAAAGAAACGTTGTGGAATAGATCAGAAAAGGGTTGATCATCTATAAATTATGTACAACTTTTCTTTATGAGAGAAATGAATAAATACCTATGAAAAAAGAAAAACAAATCTAGCATAATTGTACTTCAAGGTTCTGCATGGAATCATCAAAATGATAAGAAATTTGGCCCAGTTTGATAAAGTTACAAGCACTGCATGTAGGCCTATACAGAAAGATGTAAATGGGACTACACGAACATGTGCATGGCACAAAAATCCGTCCCGATTTTTATGATGTTGTACATGCCATAATATTTAGTATATTAAGGCATTTGAAGAGCCATGCTTTTCAGGGGAAAAAAAATTATCTGATGTTCTTCCACACTTGCATAATAACAAGGATAATGCTTTCAAATGATTTTTCACATCTTCCCAGAACTCAACATTCTATTTAAATTGAATTGAATTGTATCTGTTCATTCCTTGACTTATTGTCGAAGATAATGTTTGGGGTTGGGTGCCCCCCTTCTATATACTATCGATACCTATATAATGTGTTCACATCGAATGAAGATCTTCAAGATTTCAAGATTTAATGTGGTTTCTTGTATCCATACATGCTTTGACTTAATGCCGAACAGAAAATGGAAATGTTTGGGTTCTTACCACCCACCCCCCCCCCCCCTCCGCTTCTTCTTATTGTCGACAACTATCGTCGCAGCGATGCAAGTAATAAATAATGTGTTGTTGCATCGATCGGGCGTAGATCTTGTAAAGTTTAGTACGGTGATTTCTTGTACCAATCCATTGTGAGTGAATATTATTAGGGATGGAAACTATATGGTCGTGCTGCCTATAAAACAGCCACAGCTCATGAATATTAACGCCTCCTCGGTCTTCAGAGTATATCACAAAGATAATAAAACTATATTACAAGTGAAGGAGAGACAAGTTCTTGATTGATGGCTATTTCCACCACTTGACCTTTTCCTTCGCGCAGATAGGTAAATACAAAATGGTTGAGCAACTACACTGGTCGGGTAGATACATGTTTCCTCTTATACGACGTACATGAACAGATGAAATAGTATACAAACTTAATATGTGTTTGCCTTGAAGAATAAGTAAATCTGAGATATAAATTAACTTAGGTGGCACGTCATTTTGATGTTCTCTTACGGCTGGGTGCAGCTCATCTACATAAACGGATGGATCGTGTGAAGCCTGTTTCATCTTCAAAATCAGAAATTCAATTAGTTTCACTGAAATAAAGGATCAAATTAAATCTAAACGTCTCATCACTATTAGCCACCCCCTAGCTCTCTCTTTATTGATGAAATCAATGAAATCAATCTTGAGTGAAATCAATCGGCAGCAAGATGGAGTTTGTCGATCTATTAGAATCGCCAAGTGAGTGTTGTCACTTGTTGAATCTTTTAAAAGCTTTCCATGGTTTCAAGGATGTCACGTGTCGATTTTCATTCATTGATGAACAAATAATTTCAAAGTAAATCGATATTGACATTTACGTCCAACAAAACACACCATTCATGTCTATTTCTACTCTGCTGCATGCATTAGAATAATATTGTATCGCATGTTGTATACTATTTTGGCTTTGTTTTGTTTTTACTTCTTTCTCCATGTTCTCTTAGCTTAATACATACAGTGGCGGATCCAGGGGGGGGGGGGGGCCCGGGCCCCCCCCCCCCTTGAGAAAAAAAATCATGTAAAATCACGTGATTTTTACGATTTTTGGGGGTTGGGCCCCCCCCCCCCCCCCCCTGGCGCTCAAGGGGGGGGGGGGGTGCAAATTGAATTTTTTTTTAGGATAAAAAAAAAAAAATGTGCTCACTACAATTTTAGCCACCGCGTTACCATAATGTATTCCTAATACACAGACAATCAATGATCAAAATCTGGGATCACGTAATTCATATTATTATACATTTCTGTGAAAATAAACGCTTGAAATTCATCATCCTTTTCAGAAGAGATTCCTTTGTCAATATTGTTCCATGGTAGCTCTTTGTTATTATGTAACCGAATTCATAATTTCATGCAATCCTGGACCAAATACTGTATTTTTCCTAGACCTAAAGATGCTTAACCCCTAAAACCCTTCGAAACCTTTAACACTATAAGCCTTTGTCGAAATATAACCCAAAGCAAATAACATCCCAGTAGCATTTGTCTTCGAGTGTTTTTGTATTGCTTGAAACGGTAATAGTTATGCAAAATAGCATTTCGTGCGTGGTAAAATAATTTTGGAGTGTTTATGGTACAAAGGTTACATATTCTTACGGGCCTTACATTCCAATAAACCCAGTATAGAAAGCAACACATAGCGTGATCCTCGATTTCTATTTCAGATCATCAAAGAATGTGATATGCGATGTCTGATATTTTTAATCATCTTTCATCCTCGAATACTTACGATGAGAGCTTTTGATAACGATTCATAAAAACCTTGCTCTTGCCTTACCAAACGTCGACTCAACACACACCCACCCCCCCCCCCCCCCCCCCACCTCACATCCCCCATAATATATTCTTGCACGTCATGCAGGTCATCCTGACCGGTTTGTGTTTTACTCTCAAAGTAGTTTTCTGATTCATTTTTTTCTTCCTGCTTGTTTGTTCTTTTTGGCCGCGGGCATGCAATGCACATCTACTGGCGTCTCTTAATGATGGATTGAACAGTAATTACAGGGCCTGTATTGACTTAGCATCCAGCGGGGACTCTTCTTCTGATCGTTACTGTGTACACAGATTCTATTTCTTAATTATCACTGTCAATCACTGCCATGTGGTCATAATGTCTCTCAAAAGAACACACAATCTAGGGCGTAAGCATTTCTCTAATTTGTAGCTTATAAGATCGCATAATAGAGGGGGTTGTGGTATTTCTCTCATCGTAACTTATTTTAATTGTCCTGTATCTTGTATGATTTAGAACTGATTAGATTTAAAATAATTATGCGGTTTAGACAAACAAATCAAGCATAGTAAAGCTATACCACACCCTGTGCGAGTGTGCGTATAGTGTTGGAACAGCTAAGGCGGCGGGAGGGGGTATTGAATATCATGGAGGTGGTGGAGGGAAGGGGGACTGGTCTCACTAAGGGGGGGGGGCGGTTTGCCAGTCTTCAGTTTGTCAATGATAACAAAAAGGGGTTTATTAAGCATCTTTTCCTGAGGGAAATAAAACGCGGAATATATACTATTATTGCGTCGACTTAGCTATCGTGATAATGCTCAAGCATTTTAGAAATTTCATCCGCTATAATCCTCCCTTCACGTTTCCCATCACCCCCTCCTCTCTTCCCCTCTCTTAGTCCGTTTGTTCCCGTAATTTACCCCTCCCACAACCGCACCAACGCTCTGCTTAGCTTATTTCTCTTTTGAAAACTTTATTGTAATATGTTTATATTTTGATTTTAGTGAGGGTACATGTAGGTCTGAAAAAATAATGACAATCAAGAAGAATGAACAGAAGAAGAAACACCGTTTTTTTTTAATTTTTGCCAGGAAGGCACACGTGCACTATACCTAGCACATTTTATTTTCGTGTTTATTAATGTAGTTAAAGTCCCTCTAAAGTGTTTGGAGCCCCAAACCCGCCAACAAATGGATGGCAAAGTTTCACTTAAATTTTATCAAAATATGACAAAGGATGTAATTTAAGACACAATTCTGCAAAGATTTCCCCCAAAATGTATTTGAAGACATTATATTGATAAAAGAATAAATAATTTGGGTTTTCTGTTATACGCAGAAAACATAAATGTTGTATTCTTTCATCAATATTCGACTTCAAACACATTTGTTTTGAAAATCCGTGCGGAAATGTGTCTTAAATGACATCCTTTTGCACATTATGATACAATCTAAGTGAAATGTTGCCATTAAATAAATTGTTTGGGCTCCCAACACTTTAGAGGGGTCTGCCAGTTGGATCTTACTAGGGGTAATTCCCTGGATCCTGAATCAATTTTAATGACCATAAAACTCATTCTTTGTAAAAGTAAATATAACTTACACAAAGTCCGTTACAAAAAATTATAATAAACATTTCAGTTTGCGTCAAATATCCAGCGATATCTTGTTAAGATAATATTGAAATGTCACGATCATTAAAATGTACAAGCTTTAACTATCCATTTAATGCATATTACCAACATAATTATCATAAATATCATAATTATGTGAAATTGTTCTAATTATGATGGAAACACTTTGCCCCTCAGGAAACCTGCAATATTACGAAACATGTCATTGCAAATAATAGGCATGAACCCAATGGGGAAATTAATTAGAAATAAAGGCAATCTTCCAGTAATTCAAGCAAAGAATAATGTTTTTGCTGTCGATATTCGGTCTAAAGTAGGTGAGTCCTATGGAAAAACAACATCTCCAAATTTATTGTTTTCCGTTTTCGTTGGAACTTTTTCGTCATCCGATTTTATACTTAACTCAAGTTATGTGATAGAAAGGTCTTTTTAATGTTTTTTCCCTACTAACTGGAACATTTCCCGAAAAGGATTTCGATTTTCCAAATATCATGTCTACACATTATAAATATTTTGATGGAAATGTAATATATTTTCTGAGTACGGTTTTTTCCACATCACAGCAAATAAAATATTAATTGCAATCTCAGGTGTCGTACGAATGCACGCGTGAGTGCAGAGACAAAGAGACAGAGAGAGAGAGAGAGGCAGAAAGATTGGGAGAGGTGGAGAGGTGGAGAGAGAGAGAGAGAGAGATAGGGAGGGGAGGGGCTAGTAATGGCGATGAAGATGATGATGATGTAAGACTGTCACATCAAGTGCAGTGGAAAACAAGGTTATCGTCCCATATTCTATACAATCAAATTCACTAGGTTACATGACGAACACAACCACATCATCGCTTCATTTGAGCAACGATCGACTCGAGATCGAGAGAGAAAAAACATCACATCTTACGTGAAATAATCAATATGCAGTGCTCCTCTTCAATTGTTTATCACCATAAATAGTATTCTATTTTACTGACTATCTTGAGAGAGGCAGGTGGTTGGATTACACCACTCTGGAATTGATTGAATTATTTTATCTTGAGATCGCACGGGAGACGATTGGCTTCTCTTCGACGGAAACAACTATGTCACACAGTGATATCAACATCAATCGACTTGTTATCTTCATGCTTCATAACCTTTTATTCACAACACAGTGCGCCGCGGCGACCATGGATGGTATATCATCATAATCTCGATATATTCATTGTGAACTTTGAGGATTCGTAACGACAAATATTACTGAGTTTTTAATGTGTTTTATTCGTCTTTACCCATGCAAAGCCTATGCACACAACTTTTAACATCACTTGGTTCAATCATTATCTAACTATGAGGGAAGAGAAGCGGTGATACCTAGTTGAAACACTTTGACAATCGTAGGTATTAGGCGCTGTTCATTTCGCAGATATTTGAAATGATTTTCGGGAGGAAAATCCTTCGCTGGACTCGGAGTCGAAAGCCCTCTGGAAAGTGAGCATTGTTTCTTTCAGTAATCGATATTTCATCGTCAGTAAGGAGAGCGCTTCAATTTTCCAACATTATCTCTCTCGCAGAAGCGGTTAACTCATTAAATTCACTTATGATTGTGTTGCACCCACAGTTTCTGAGAAAACACTTTGAGTGAAATGATCCCTAAAGTATCGATGTATTGACTTGTTTACAAACTTTTCCAAATTGTATCGGTTTCTTGGTCATGATTGCTTCAAAGTACTTGAAATCTATTTTCTGGATCAACAACTAGACAATAGGCTCATACACTGCAATGACGTGTGCGTAAACGTGTTTCTTTTTAGAAGTTCTTCTTCATCATGTCAACGCTTTTTGATTTAGAAGGATTGTAGGAGAATGGGGACGTTGGATCAATTAGCTTCATTAGAGCATACCATGCAATCCTCTTACAATCAAACATACCAAGAAGAATTAGTGTGCCGAATGATAAGATATCCATGGATATTAATAGTCTCTTTATTAATCATGATGGTTATAATGTCTGCAGGTGTCATAGGAAACGTCCTAGTTTGTATCAGTATGTATACCTGTCGTTCATTACGAACAGCCAACAATGCTCTTCTTTTGAATCTAGCTGCAGCTGATCTATTCGCTTGCTTCCTTTTCACACCGTTACTCTTCACCCTGGTCATCCAATCCCTCGTTTCATATAAAGCGGTTATGCCGCGGTTTTTATGCATTTCTCAAGGTTGGTTGCGGTTCGTTTGCAGTTCAGTTCAGCAGATCACATTATCATCTATCAGTGCACAGCGGTATGCTGCTATAGCTCACCCATTAAAGCGGAAAGGAACTAAAGAAAGAGTCTTAGCTGCAGTGGTTATCTCATGGCTGATAAGTGCGTGCATTTCTATTGCAGCTATTCAATTGCAATCCTCACCTATTTATGAATTATGTCCTTGTAGCTTAGGCTTAGGCTCTGGAATACCGACCAACTTAGTCGACATGTACCTACTGGGCCCTCTTGGCATGATGTGCTTTCTTATAGTAATATTCTTTTATGCCATGATATTCCGAACAGTCCGGAAGCACGTAAAAGAGAAGGTCGGCTCGTCCTATGAACCAACCTCCTCGGTCACTACCGCCAATAAGCGAATACTACCATTGAAGTGCTGTCAGATGTGCGGATTTAGAGGAGGCCTGAAGACAAATGTTGTGGCACCTATTATTGATGACCATAACTCAACGGAATTACCTAAACACGATCTCCTCCAGGGAAGTAGTTCTCTAGAAGCTGCAGAGAGGCAACACACTAGTAATATGTCTATTCCAGAGGTAACAAGTGATGCATATTTACAACACATCGTGACTGATACTGAAAATATCCATAGTAACAATTCAATGCCTCAAGAATATCAAGAGTATGTAAACCATAGTCATGGGTCCTTTAACTTATTGGATCAGCAAGGATTGGAAAGATCTGACATTTTCTCTGGACCAGATGGGACTGAAGATATCGGGGAAACATACAGCAACTTTTTACCATCATTAGAGACTAAAGCAGGTGATGACAACTCTGACATGATCCCAGAAATAAACTCGACATACGACGTTTCAAATACCAATGAATTAAATAATGTCAGAGATTATGAACAGGGCATGCTTGATACCGAGGGTGGAGCTAAAGTAGAGATAGATACTGATAAACCATGTGAAATTCAATGCGAAAAGCTTGAGGATGCGCCTGTGTTGACTATGGGACAGCGCGAGACACAACTGGATGAGCTTTCACAGAGTGCAGTAGACAATACTGCTCGAGAGACAAACTCGAATGGCTTGGTCCAATGTGAAGATGTTCAAGACAATGTAGAGACTCATCACGTCCCTCACAGTGATTCTACTGGTAATGTTCCATCAGTTGATGGGGATAAGGTCTTGACCAAAGGAAACACAATATGGCTAGCTAGTGAAATACTACCTGGTACTTCCATTTCCGTCCAAGATGCTTCTACCGTGACAAAGGAATTATCAACAAAGATCTACGGAGATGTGTGTTTGATGAATCCTAAATCGCGCGAAAGGGGCCGACGAAAAATTGAGGCAAAGACCGCTAAACGAGCTTTATTCATTATAGCTGCATTCATCATCTGTTGGTTTCCAATGAGTATTATAACTTACCTTGAAATCAGTATGAATCTTCCCGTCGAGGTGAAGATTTTAGTTTTAACTTTATCCTTCTTGAGTGCTGTTATCAATCCCATCATTTATACATTCATTAACACGGCATACAGGAACGAGTTCAAAAGACTCCTTAAGAAAATATACCAGAGATAATCATCATTGGGAAGGATCGTTTGGATAAAGAATTTTGATCTGGATTTATGCCTCTAATTATTACATCCTTATTAGACTGAGCCCTGAAGCAACAAATCTCTCTGATTTATATACTGATTTATATACACGGCAGGATATTTATCATCAAAGAAGATGAAAATGAATATGTAGTACAGGTATAACGTTTGATTTTATGTATTCTTTTAACTTATGTAATTATTGACATGATGGAATTCAAGTAAATGGCTTTATATAATTTGTATAATGTGAATGCCATTCAATTGTTCTTTTTATTGTGTAAATTGTCACTAACATGACTTAAGTACCATCCAACATACCCATGGTGATGTATGCTGTTTATGAAAACAATGCAAATAACCCTCCTAAATTCTGTAAGCTTGTGTGAGTTGCTGGTTCGATAAATAAACAGAACTCAAGAAAGTGGGTGATTACGGGATGGTGAAATTCAGATTTGGTACAGAGAGAGAGAGATGATCAATGGAAAGGGGGAAGACAAATAGAAAAGAAGATGATCCGACCATCTTTTTTTCAATGTCCTTATTATCTCTTATTTCATCCTCCTCGTGAATCCGATGCCACTATACCCCCATCCATGACACTACGCCTGCACTACGCCACGAACATTACCTCACTAATTTCCATTTCTTTTTTTCCTTGCAGACTTTGTTGTCACAAATGAAGTTAATTTGACAAAGTACATGTCTTTAAAGGTTAATAATTGAGGCTAAGAGGGACACACATCGATCTTAATCTTGACTTAATCTTGACTTAAGCACACTGTAACTATGTCAGTGTCATATACTATCAGCGTTATCCCTGATATTTAAAAGTTAATTCTTCGTCCATTTTGATATTCATTGTGGAGAGACTTGAAAGACATTCACACAATTCAGATCCATTAGCGTCGTTTGATTATTCTTAATTATAGTTTTGTTTTACTGTAAGTTACATGGATGAATATTGTGTTGTAATAGAAAGATTAAAAGAGATATCTCAAACTGGTCAACAATGATCGATGTCTTTATTATCATGTGCTTTTTCTGTTCCAAGTCGATGACAACGATACTAACCCTTTCAATGCCGTCGGCAGTTTGAACAACCCAAAGTTAAGTATCTGTGTTTGAAACTGGAAAATCCTGTTTTTTTACGTTATTAGATAATTGACAAGATTCATCTCATTTAATGTTTGTCTGACGGATAATGTTTTGTATGTGGAAAAGGAAAAGGATTTCCTTTCACAACAATTTGAATATATTTTAATTAAAGTTCCAAAGCATACAACATAAAGTTGACAGTTGTTGTGGTGTTTCTTCTTACGGAGTATTATTTACGTAATGAAGTCATAACACTTGGTGGTAGCTTAAGAGTTCATCAAATTGCTTTTAAGATCAGTGAACATTAACTGCATTTTGGAAGGGATGAACTATTACACTATTAGCTAAATCTCTTAATAATACATAGCGATGGTTAAAACGGGAATGTGCGAATGAAATACGTTCTATAATGTGACAACATAACGCATAGGCATCCCATGTAACTATTTATTATTATTAGTAGTAGTAGTATTATTTATTCAGCAAAAACAAAGAAAATCATTGAATACAAAACAAGAGTACATTCGGAAAAGAGTCACATATGGATGCAGGGAAAATAAAAAGATTAACTAAATAACTGTAACCCGGAGGTCTTCTTTTCCAATCCATGTGACTTTACAGAAATGGTAAAAATAAAATGGTGAGGTATATTATGGAGCACTGTGAAATCAACAATAATAATCATTGACAAGCTAAAATTAAATATATTAAACAAAAACTTTAAAAAACTAGCCCCTCCCCCTTACAAAAAACCTAAAAATGTCGCTTTGAGTATGTATATAGCACCAGGAAAAAAAGAAGAAAAATGTGAATACATGCACTCACATCCGACATTTAACCTGGAGTTCTATACCTGAAGATGGCGCATTCATCATGTTCATTTGAGAGAAACGTGAAAGAGAATATGTCTCGACAATGAGGAGTAAAGATGTGTGTACTCTGCATTATAATGATTGATGTCTGAGAAAGAAGATTGGTTGGAATGACATAAGTATCTTGGACGGGATTACATCAGCGACTCTATGATCTCTACCACACTATCAGTAAGCCAGTGACATGGAAGGAAGGATTGTGAAAAGTAAATACTTATAGTAGGATGAATCTGAAAAAATATGTTACATTGAATTCCTATGTGTCATACGTTTCTTTTAAAATTGGTATTCTTAGCTGTTTGAGGTTTGTAAAATAATTCGAGTGTTCATCAAAATCTTATATGAAAAAGGCATACTAACAAGAAGTGGAATAGTACATAAAAGTATATTTCACAACAACTCGACTTGAATTCTAGCGTCAAATGTATAAACGTCATATGTTAGCATGGTTCACACGTTTGTGCCATAGGTCGTTACTGGACATCTTAATCCTGAAAAATAACCCCATATTTTAGAAAATGTCCTTCGCCAGAAATTCCATGAATAAATAAATATGTTTAAAACGGTATATTAATATACTGGTATTTTAACTTCTTCTTTTAGTTTCTCGATAAAGTGTATAGATCTGCATAAAAAGTTAATTTGAAAAGCAAATAAAAAATTAAATGCCACTTGATTTTCAACCAATTAGCATTAAGCAGTTAAGATTGACTTTTAGTTTTAGGAGTTCCGTTTAAAAGCTGCTTTTTATGGAATACCATGTGCTTTGTACAATTGTTTTGCTGTTGACAAGATGTATAGTTCAATCGCTACTAGGCCTATAGTTTTCGCGAGAGAAAAACACACATTCAAGCTTGGACTAAGTTTTGTGTTATTCATAATGTTATGGATGTGTTATGTGAGATCATACGTAATAATTATCAAACACAAACACCATTTTATCTATTTATTCGTCTTCTTTCATTACGGAATGTAATTTCAAATCTTTCCAAAATCCTTGGATATATCCAAACATCGCTTTTTAGATCTGGTGAAGGGTAAGGAATATAGACGCTCTGTTTCCAATTAGTTCCTCTGGGGAACAGGTGTTATGCTTACAGGGCAGACACATTCAATGGTTTTATTTCGTAGGCCTACATTCGTTTTTCTCTCTTTCTCCCTTCCTATTTTTCTCACCTTCCCCTCTCTTCCTCCCTTTCCTCCTTAGTTAGGGGTGTCTCAGTGCCCCCGGTGCTATGCCACTTGCGATAATGATGAGGAGGAATATAAGAAGATCATTGGCATTGTTGCATGCAAAACAATAAATTACAACCTCTCCCAACAAAGTAATTCCCATGTACACTGTGAAAAGGTTGGGCAATACTTTCCAACACTTTGCCCAACGTTGTGCCAATAGTCAACCCAACCATCTATTGGGTAATATTTTGCCCAGTGGTATTGGTAAACGTAAGTACCCTACTTCACACGTGCGTAATTGTTTTCTATCTTGACCAAAATGTGGGCAAAGATATGACCCTTCAACTGCCCGACTACGATAGCCCACTTGTTGGGAAAATATTGACCGAGCTTTAGGTCAAAATACGAAACAATTATGCACATGTGAAGTAGGGTACTTACGTTTACCAATACCACTGGATGGTTGGGTTGCCTATTAGCACAACGTTGGGCAAAGTGTTGGAAAAAAATATTGCCCAACCTTCACTAGACCTTTTACATTTTATATTCTGTTTCGTGATTCAGTTCAAGAGTTTGTATGAAGAGTTTAAGTGAAAATTCATTAATAATTCACCATTCAGATAGATAACGCAGCCGCCATTACAACCACTCACTGAACAGATTAATCTTTAAAAGCCGCTTGGCAATTAAGAAGAAAAAATATGGTGCGCGTCAGATATTGAGGGTGATAGGGATATGCTGGGAGGAAGAACAACGGACAGCGCATTATCAGATTAGTTTGAGATGTAAATAGTACCTCTGGCTCTATTAGTACAACTTTTTCTTCCCTTGCCATTCGTTGCTCATTTGAATCATTAATTGTCTAATTATACGATGTCATTACCATTAAATTTGTCGTAGACTTATGAGCTCCATGACGTAAAAGCGTGCACTTATTCACTTATAAATGGCCCTGGCTATGGGTTTTTACATTTGTTTGTTTTAGTTTATCTTTTAGTCAAAAGTGTGACTAATTGAAAAATTAATATTGTTTCTGTTATTGGTCACATTTACAACGCGTGTGAAAAATAAGGTCTGTATACTTATCAACATGGCCTGATGTCGTGAGAAAGGCTAAACTTTGCAGAGTTCCACACAGATCTGGTTCCACATAATCTATAATATAATAACCATATAATCTGACATTCCTATGTTCTAATATCTGTGTAGTGTTCTGATGTTCCTGTTTTCATTTATGAAGTTGAAATATTAGAGCTTCTGCAAAGTGTATCTACCAAATGGTTAGGTATCTGAATGAATCCCAACGTGTTTTTTCTACTTTGTAAACGTTAAGACATACGAGGCGCAGAAAATTTCGACATGACTATTCAGGCAAACGTCATCTCATATGGGCAACGATTTGTGTCTACTCGTATTAATAAGTTTCATATTTAGTATATTTTCAAATTTAAAACGCTTTCATCTTTTCAAAGAATTTGAAAAACGATGTTCAGGAGTCACCCCTTGGATCCCCTTCCTGAATAATTTTGGCCTGTACACTTGTTATTACACTTTAGTCAATACGTATGGCTGTATCAGAGACATGCATACCATCATAATGTCAAGAATTATATCTCGTTACGCCGATATCGGGCGTGAATATACCATTAAAGCTAATAACTGAACACTCTAGTTTGACCTTTCTAAGCCTATTTCTAGCTCTACATTAGTATAATTTTGCATATTTATTCCCATTCCTTTGTCTAGTATAGACGTACCCAATAAAGATGAAATGTAGAGATGATTTACTAATGTTACCTGATTATCATTAGGCATACAATTTTCGAAAATATTACAAAGAAACGTTCCTTTTAGCATGGACTTTACGTTTTATTCCAATCTGATTTCACTGTGTATTCATTTCTTATTTATTCGAGTTGTTGGAAATACCCCTGCGGTTACGAATAATAACGGAAGACTTGGGATTATACCGAGCGATGACTGTAAAGAGCATTGGTTATTAGATTTCAATGCAAGGGAGCCTTTACCGCGATAATAATGTATGTAGTATATAGGATAACGAGACACAGAGTAGTCCTCAAGTTGTCTTTCCCCCATAATAGTCTTGTTTTGTATATTCTTTGTAATTTTGTATACTAATCTTCTCTTCCTTTCTTCCAGTTCTTTTATCTATGTCATACTTCCATTTCTGTCTAATTTGCTTCTCCATCATTAATCTTTCCCATTTACATACTTTCATGTTTCCCTTCACTTTTCTCATTCTTCTTCTATGTGAGTTTACCTATCGATATTTCAAATCAAACATTGAATGGTTGATTCCCATAGCCATTAAGATCTCATTTATGACACATGTTATAGCACTGGATATTATTACAGAACCTAGGAATGCACTTTTCTCTATTCTTAGTCATTCTCCCAATCAATATAATTCCGTGTAATTGTAAAGTACTTAAGAGAATGAAAAATGAATTGCATCGAAGTCTGAATTAGCATGATAATTTTATTGTGATTTGTTCATGCTTGATTCTTGACAAAGCAACCAGTACTCAATTATGTAATTAAATGTCGATATGAAGTAGTTGTCATCGCAGTATTCACGTTTTTTGTCATATATATTTGGATGAAATTGCTTTTAGGCTTTGTATGTTCATTTATTGTATGAAATGTTCCTAAAATCCTTGGCCAAAATAGGGCAGGAAATCGTCGGCAGAATAATTCTGCACGATGAAAATGAACCTAACGTGATAGCTAATTTTGTCTTGGTTACGCACACTACATACACACCCACAAACACACGCGCGCAATAATGCACTAAAAAGTACCACATCAAAATAATATGATTGTCTAATTGATGTACTCATGTGTATAGTTTTATTGATCATAGCATCTGGTTTCCATGGTTTTATGAATTTTTGTTTGATCATAATATATAGGGCAACGAACGAATGATGAAGGGGAGGGGCAAACACAATAATATCAACTAGATGTACGTATATTTCATACATAAATCCTAGGAGCAAGAGCGAGTATTTCTGGCGAACCCAGTAAACAAATCTAATCTAAATTCAGATTAAAACTAAGTTTTTGTAAGTAAACTCAAACAAAAACCG